ACTACTTGGGCCAACAACGTAGGAAGGGGCAGTAGTAGGACCGGAGAAGAAGATCCACCATCGGCCACCCTGCACAGAGACAGGTAACAGCCGATCTACAGGAGGTGTAACTACTGTCTTCATTAGTCCATGGAAGGAGAAATGCAGCTAAGACAGCTGCTGCACAAAGAAAGGTTTCCAAGCAGTAATGGCAGAGGGAAAAATTCCCCAGTAATGAAGTGTCAGGCAATAGTCTGTGTTTGCACATCTGGAGAGTGATGCTCTGGGTACAATTTTAAAACATAAGCTCCTTGTTTCTCCAGGTGGATACTCTGATCAGAAGGTAAGGGTGTCAGCAGTAGTGGAAGATGGTGACCAACTGACAGAGGGAAAGTGATCTTTTGTATCAGAGGTGCACCCAAGAACCATATAGGACAGTGGTTAAAATGACATAGAACGTGATGAACAGTGCCTGTGAGCCCAGCCCTGAGGAGTGCCTATTGTTGAACCAGTGCTGACTCAACTTACCTACACTTGGATTTGTGTCTGTACATAATTAAAAATTGAATTTCCTCTCTCTTTCATTTTTCAACTCAAGAAAGTGTTTTGGGGCCTTGATCTTCCACCTCCTGACATACTGCAGCTAGACCACCACAGTTAGTGGTAAGAGATGGAAACATTCTGTAGAGAGAACTGAAATCAAAGATGAAGTTCACCTTGTTTAAGCTGTGAGTCACTCTTTCTGGCTGTGTTCACAGTGTTATGACAGCTGCACTGTTTCTGCAAATTTTTTCCCAACTGTAGAAAAAGTAAAAAGAAACTTTAAGAGTATGCATCCATTAAAAAAAACACAGAAATTATGGGGCACATGTTCCAAATTTTCTTTGGGCAAAATAAGCAGTTCTTAAACAATTACCTTTCTACAGCAGTTCTAAATTCTGCTGAGTGGCAAAGTGTCTTCGCTTTGCAGATTCAGGTTTTTTTCAGACACTTGCTGTTGCTCTTAGTCTGATCTGTGTAGATGATCCACCTGTCTGTTCTATGTAGACACAAAGCAGCATTCCTGGGCATCTTTGTACATCTATTCTGGGCATCTCTGATTTCTTCCCATTTATTTCAGCATCTTTACCAAGCATGCCGTGTAGGTAGACTTCGTCAATGACAGATTAGCTTAGTTTTTTCAATCACTTCTGAATACGTAAGTGTAATTAATTGTACTCACAAAGACACTTTGATTGCACCTGCAGAATCAAATGCTAAGTTCTGCTCTGCTTAAAGAGCTCGTTTGTGGTTTGTTTTTCCTCAGGTATGTCATCCATTCATGGTCCTTCTGGTGAATTTACTAGTCACATGCTAAGCCTAAGTGGTATGACAGAGTATTCATGTGTAGAGTTATAAGCCTCTTCCTGTCTTGACTGAGCGCAATATAAAATTCGTGTATTCCAAAGACAACGTGCAGTCAGCAGATCTCAGTAGACCTCCTCCAGCCCAGGTAAAAAGATTCCACGCCATTCCTATGAGCAGTGAAGCCCCTGTTAGGGGTCTCTTGAGCTCAGAGATGTTCACGTCTGTGTTACCTGTTTCAGTCAATTAGCGAGGAAAAAAAAATGGCAATGTGGGTTCAACTTTGTCCTGCACACCTAAGCATATAAATTCACATTTCTTTTATGTTTTGCCCAGCAGTGACCCAAATCCCAGGACACGGGCCAAACAAGCAGTTGCCTAGGGCAAACGGAGGGCAGGAGAACAGCCATTTCTTCTGCTTTGAGAGGATCCTGGAAAACCCAGTTGGCTGCTTTTGATACTCTTACTGCCAAGGAAGAAGTCAGAGTGAATGAGAGGCTGGCTATGGTTCTAACTCCTCCTGGAGCAGTTTTTGTGGCATTTCAGGACTTTTTCCTAGTCCTCCGTCCCCTCTTCCAACCCTTCCCTTTCCGTGGTGTACTTGTCAGGGTGGATGAGGTTTGAAGATTTGTGCTGCACTTTCAGCAATAAGCAAGAGGTTTGGACTGCCAGAATTCTTCTGTATTGCTCATTTTCCATCACTATTTAAATGTGAGAAATGATATTGAGGTCAAATACAGACAAGAATTTCTTACATTCCTATATCATCAGGATGGGCAAGAGAAATTTTCTTCTGGAACTACACAAGATAGGGAGGTGGTTGTTTATACTTATGATCTTGACCCACTCTAAACTCACACAGAGAAAACATCTCTCCAGAATACTCTGCTTTTTGGTA